GGATTTACCACATGAGCTCAAGCCCAGCACTATCAGACCTCACCAGATAGGAACAAAAGAAACCGAGTGCTGGTTTGCTTGCGAAGAGGCCATACTGACATACCCACACATCTAGCCCCGTAAATTGGTAGATCTGGTATGAGGTTTCTATTGATATTTTAAAATCCTGTTTCAGGAGGTGGAGCGTTAGAGTTGCATCTATAATCCAAACTTAACCCTTCCTTATATGAACAAGTTATACAAAATGAACACGACAATCCTTTCTAATGTTGCAGTCCAAAAAAAACCAACCCAGTTCACTCCTACCTTTTCTCATGTATCTGAAAGGATAACATCCATCAAACTCAAAGCATCTCTCATTAGGAAATAATATAAAAAACAAGAAACACTTACCCACAAGACAGTAAGACAATACTTGTAAATGAGGCTTTACTTTGGACTGGGGGGGTGTTGGCACAGGAGAGTCGGGAGGGGAGACAAGGTGCTAGGGGATTAAGATAATGCAGGAGCAAGCTGTATGACACAAACCATAAAACGTTTTTATGTCAAATACCACTACAGATTGTTTTGTTCAGCTTATTAAACGGGGAACCTACTAACTGATATTAAAAAGAACAGCTTCCTACGAGCTTTCTATTACACATAAATTGAACTGTGCCTCTAAGGAGACATTAGTCCCTTAGCAAGGGAACGCAGAAGCCTTCATAGGCAGTGGCTCATCATTTAATGAAATAAAACTATCCATAAAAACCAAGAGTTTGACTGCCTACGAGTATTTCTGAGAACACAATTTCCACATAACAGCTAGTTCCCAAGAGGTACATCTGCATAGCACGCTTCAGCTTGCATCAGCACATATGCTCAGAACTGTTTCCAAAAAAAGAAAAAGAAAAAAAAAAGAAAAGAAAAAAGATAGATATACTCGTGCAGATATTCTCTGGTGGATTACCCCAGTTGTGGGCTCTTGGGTTTCTCAGCACACTGCAGGACAGCCGTCACAAGCCATCAGGATGCCAAGAGCGAGTGAGCGTGAGGCACATCTCTAGTTTGAGCCCTCCTGACACTACACAGTTACACACTGTTCTGAGTTGCATACTTACTCTCTAGAGGGGATACCACTGAAATTTGTAATCTCAATCAGCATCAACAGCAAGATTACTATGTACTTTATTGCATAGATGACTTCATCAATCACCTTGCAGTCCTGATTTGGATACACTGATGAAACAGAAAAACAAGATATGCATGTAAAATTTTAGATTTCTTTACTTATTTCTGGACTCAAAAACATCTCTCAGTAAAGGAAGTAGATGGAAGAAATTCCCCGTGTTTAAACACTACCAAGAATTTCACTTTAACATGTATGAGCATGTATTCACCATGCAAATGGCACTGAGCTAGGCTAAGGGGGCGATTTTTTTTTTTTTTTTGGCAAAAGAATGAGGATGCTTTCTAAATTCAAAGGTGCTCACTTTACAACTACAACAGATCCCTCATCACTTGCTTTTGCATAAATTCATCTCCAGGCATTTTGGCAGCATTTTTGAGAGATATTCTAATTTTTACTTTATCCTAAAGAAATCTTAGATCACTGTGCAAGTTCACAAGAACTATAAACCAGGCCTGTTTCAACACTATTAAGGTCATCTAACCAAGGCCATATGTTTAAATGCTCTACAATCACTTGTACAAATATTAAACATTAATCTCCTAAAATAATAGATGGCACAGAAATGAACAGCTGATGAGTCCAGATATGACGCAGCATAATACGAGGCAGATAACTTTACCTGGGTTTGTACTGACATTATTTGAAGTACAGGCACATAAAAGCCTTTCCCTGTCAGCAGATCCTCAGAAGGAAAGGGGGTGGTGTGTCAAATTATCCAACTATCCAGTTAGGACAGACTCTCCAAATACAACCAAACCAAGCGACACCCACACAGAACAGTTCCTTGACTAGAACACC